CTAGCTGGGGACCTGAGAAACTGTCCCGTGAGTAGAGCTTTGGTGCATGGAATCTGTGAAAATCTATTTAGGTTTCTTCAGGCTTTGTTTACTTCAGGGTCCTGACCATTTCAGACAGTGATTTTGTTAATGTACTATAAATCTAATGGAAGTAACAATCATAGCTCATATTGACTATTAGCAATAGCCTTTGACTTGGGTTTTTTGCCTTTAATCATATCCCTCTACAAATTATTCAGCATGATCCCTTTAAAAATGTAAATTTGACCATGTCACTTCTTAGTTTAAAATCTTCCTGTTGTCTCCTCATTCAGAAATAAATCCCGGTACTTTTCCCCCTTGGCCAGTATGACCTTATATGACTGGACCCTGGGTCCCTCATCTCACCTCCCTCATTTCCCATCTTTTTTTGGTTCACTGGGATTTCTTGCTGTTCCTTCAACAGTTAGTGAACTCTTATCTCAGAGGTTGGGCACTGGGCATTTCCTTATCCTGGCACCCCTCCTCTGCTTGGCTCTCCCATTTCCTTAAGACCTCTTTTTAAATTTCACCTACTCAGGGAGGCTGTCCATGACATGCAATTCAAATACATCTCTACTGGGTACACTGTGCACTGGTGGGAGTGTTGGGTACATTTAAAGCCTAGACTTCTTCACCACTATGCAATGCAACAACATAACTAAAAACTATTTACACCCCTAAAGTTATTTAAATAAAGAAAAAAAAAAAGAAAAAAAACAAAACAAAACAAATACAGCATCCCTTGTCACTTTCCATTACCTCATCCTGTTTCATTTTCTTCGGAATACTTAGAACATCTGAAATTATCTTATATATATATGTTTATTGCCTCTTACCCCTCCTAGAATGTAAACTCCCTGAAAACAAGGGTTTTGTTTTATTCATGAAAGCATCCCTGAGTACAGAAGAGGAATGTTTATAGAAGCTCAAATAATAATTTTTGATAAAATGATGTAAGTTATTTAATTCCCATTAGAATCCTAACAGGTAGACATTATTGAAAGCCATTTTTATAAGTGACCTAATTGAATCTTAAAGAAGTTAAATAAATTTTTTCCAAGCCCACAGTCACTAAATACTGAAAGCAAGGGAGTTGGGAGCAAGGGAGTAGGACGTGCCTTGTGGTAGCTTTAATTGATATTTTTATAATTTAGATATGATCATTGAAGCTACTTGGGTATTTTAAATATGTAAGTAGCAACTCTGATTTGAGAACAATTTATATGGGGCAGGAAAGAAAATGTTAGTGCACAAAGTTTATTTTCCCAAGGAAGAACATTTGTAACTGATGGTTAGGTACTTGAGGCTAACGTGTAAACATACCATGTAGCTCAACAGACCCTGTTTTCCAAAACCTTGAGCCCTGATGCTGCTGGGGAATAACAAGTTGCACCAGTGTTAGAGCAATACTTCTAGCAGTGCTGGGAAGGCAGGGATTGAACTGATTCCCTGGGACTGTCACAGCAACTAGGCAAGGAGGCCTGGTATCTGTATTGAGGCAGAATTCCTAAGAGATACTTCAGTATGTCAGTCATAAATCCATTGATTATAAATTGAACACAGACTGCCACTGTGTGTTGTCAAGTGTCCTAAAGCAAGAAAAAAAGGGGGGGGCTACAAAGTAAAAGAAAAAAAAAGGAAAGACAGTATTAGATATTTATGTACTAAGATATGCCACCCAGCTGTTCCTTCAAGGATGAACTTGTTGTCCAGCTGTGGAGAGTGTGTGGCTGGCAGACTGCCTCCGGCTATTAGTTCCTGCAGGGTCGGCTTCAGTTGCAGAGAGCTACCACGCTTGAGGCTGCACCCTTCCCAGAACAGCTCACATCCATTGACTGATAGAAATGTAAGTAAAAGGTCTATTTCCTTTGGCCTCCTCTGACAGAACTGTAGCTCAGTGTTCCCTTCTGGGTTGGCCAAGTTTTGTCAGGCCTGCATTACAGTACTGCTTATTCTTCCACCTATTCCTACTTCTTTGCCCTTTCCTTTCACAGGTGTGGATCCCTAATATATCTATATATCTCTTGTACTTGAAATCATTTTCAATGTCTGCTTCTGCAGAACTCAATCTGTGACATCAGATTTATTCATTCAGCTAATATAATGTCTCTATTGCTACACTAGACTTAAAGGGTCTGGTTATTCAGCGATGAACAAAACAGTCACAGTCCTCTGAACTCATGGAGGTTATCACTTAGTGGGGTGGTAGATGTTAAAAAAATGAAACATTTAAAAATATATATATGTATTGTACTAAGTACCATTAGGGTCTGTGGAAACAAATGAAACCCCATAATATTGACAATTTTATCAGCTAGTATGTGTGTAAAGTACTGTTTTAGGGTTAAGATTATGACAATATAGATACCTACTTCGAGGTCACCCTGCTAAACAAATATAACAAAATTGTGGGTGTAACAAAATCTTATTGACTTCATTCATTTAATTCTTTCAAATCTGCAATCTAAGACAATCACTCAGTTACTTATGAATGTCCTTATCAAACTAGACCACTGATAAAAGACTGCATGCAAACTTTTGGTATAAAGGCCAATTGGGATCTATTTTTATGTGCCTAGCACTGGTATAAGAGTACCTCAGTTTCCTGTGGTGAACAGCCTCCCCTCAAGATGTACATGTGAGGAAGTGGCATCCAAATTTAAATAACCAGGTACAGTATTTTCCATCCCCCAGCTATAGTGACTATTAGAGATATTCACATAATCCAAAGCAGACCAGTAACAATAAGTTCTTAAACTTTCCCTGGAATTATTAGATAAGAGGATCTCATGCCAGAGGGATCAGAAAGCAGGTGGACTATAAGCCTTGAGTTTCTGGTGGCAATCATTCTGCCTGAGAATGAAGCCAGCTCCAAATAATACTGACAACACTAATGAAAAGCACTATATCCACATAGTACTATATCCTATGTGTCAGGCACTGTTTCGAGAGCTTTATATACACTAAATATACAATCCTACAGTGTTCAGGTGTACAGAGATTTAGCACATTGACCCAGGTGGCACACAAGTGAATTTGAATTGCACAGGTGGAATCTGAACCCCAGTGGAGTCGATATCCCTCACGCTATGTATACTACTTGTCATAAAAATGAAAGCCAAGGGATAGAGCCTGTTTCAAAGAGAACCATCTGAAAACCTACTTCCAGACTGGGTCTGCAATGAGCAATTGGAATTTTCACTTAATTAAGTCAATAATTTTGTGTGTGTGTTTTTTTTTTTTTTTGAGTTGGAGTATCTACTCTGCCGCCCAGACTGGAGTGCAGTGGCATGCTCCCAGCCACCGCAGTCTCGACCTGCTAGGCTAGAGCAATCCTTCCGCCTCAGCCTTCCAAGGAGCTGGAACTATAGGCACGCACCACCATGCCCGGCTAATTTTTTTTGATTTATTGTAGAGATGAGGTCTCATCAAGTTGCCCAGGTGGGTCTCAAACCGGCAGGCTCAGGCAATTCACTCACCTCGGCCTCCCAAAGTGTGGGATTATAGGCTGAGCCACTGAGCCTGGTGGGGTTTTTTTTTTTTTTTTTTTTTTGCAAAATCAGTCTGAATTTGGTTTTTATTATAGGAACTGAAAGAATCTTGCTTATACTCCAGATTCATCATTATATTAGTTATAATAGAAAGTGGAAAAACCTAAACGCCCTATGATGGTGGATAGTTTAATAAATGATAGGAATATAAATATGACATATACAACCATTAGAAATATTTTTGAGTATTTATGCACATAATAAAATGTTATCTATAAAAGCCAAAACTGTACACTCTACAGTTTTGTAAATAAGAAATGTGCGGGACATCCCCCTAGAGTCCCCTCCCAATGTGGGAGCTTTTCTATCCTCTCAATAAGTCCTGCTTTCAAAAAAAAAAGGTGCAACAAAAAGACTGAAACAAAATATACCAGAATATTATGACAATCTCTGTATTTTTAAGAATTTGTGAAGTTTTCTATAGTAATATTTTAAAATTAGAGGAGTAAAAAAAAGGCAAACTTTTAAGATGCAAATATTCTTAAGTCTCATATCACACCTTAAGTATTTTACTCTGAACCTAAATTAAACTTAAAATCCATTCAAAAATGTCGAAGGAGATTTTATTTTTCCTGTTTTATTTGCTGTTGTATCCTAGTGGCTACATCAGTACCTGGCACCTAAGTGCTTGCTGAAGGAAAGATGAACAGAAAAATGAACAACCAGCAGTTTATTTCTGCCATACTATGTAGTTTAACTTTTCTAGCAAGATATTTGTCACATAAGAACTGGGTTTTTAAAAACACTCTAGTTAAGACTTGAAAGCAATCAATGCTCAAGCTAATTCTGTACCACTTGAAGAGTTTAGAAAACATAACATATCAATATTGTGATTTTGCCTGTTTAATAATCAGGTAAAAGTAAATAGCCCTGATTATCCTATGGTTAACTTTAACTCCATGTGAATTGTTCCTAATTTTTAAAGACAAAGTCCTATATATTTTATTTTACTTTTTGGTTTATTGTCAAAGCACAAAATTTGAGACCTTGTTTAAAAGTAAGTAATATTATTTTGGTGACGTAACAAACTATTTTTCATATTATTGTTATTTAGTAAAAGATTCATTTAAAGGTTTTTAAGTAAAATATGCAGAGAAAAAGTTCAATATACAGAATTATCTTGATTTGTGTTGCTATGTTATTACTATGCTAAAGACCTCAGATATTTCATAAAACTATCAACATGCTGGCTGAGAATGTAAGCTCTGAATCAAAGGACAGAGAAAGAGACCCAAGCCATTTTTACTTTCTGAATATAAGAAGCTAACTGTGAAGGTATCTGATAGCTGAAAACTGAACCTCTTAAAAATTAGCTTTAGAGAAAAGTACAGAATTACAACTGAGGCGGCAGATCTTAAGGTTTTAAACAGTCTTATCATTGTCACATTATGATATCATGGCATCTCTGGAAATCAATGCACCCGCATACCGGAGTCTCCGAAATCTTTATATTTAGAGTCCAATCTCTTTCTGGGAAATAGCAAAATGAAGGACCATTCTTATTATTCATCTGATAAATTAATGTCCATTCATCTTGACATTAAAAACTGAATGCAATGATTTAAAAAACACGATACATTAACATTTACATAATATATTTAGAATCATGTGGTTTCCTGTAATTAGAACTTAGTCATGCATGGAAAGAAACAGAAGACAATGGCTAAAAAGCACATGCCACCTTATAAAGGATACCTAAATGGTATACTTATGATGACTAGTAGTCAGGATTTAGACATAATACATTTTTCCTCAGAGGAAGCAATTTTAGTTTCTAAAGAGCATTTACTTCTGACATCTCAATTCCTGATTTCAGTGGTTGCAGACTGTGTACTTCTGTGCCACACTTAGGGCAGGTAAAGTACGTGTCAAATAAGAAACTACTTTTAACACAGAAATAACAAAAGATATGCTCACATCCTATGGTGTGAGGCATGGTGGGCCACTCTCCACAGAGAGAACATTCTTTACCACTAGTGGCTAATGTATTGTCATTATTAGGAGCACCAGCAAGAGGAATACACCATGAAGATAACTTGGCTTTCAACTTCTGGATATTGATAAGTGGCAAGAGAAAAATCAGAAACTCAGCAAAGCCATGCCAGAGAAGTTCCCTATTCATGTAATCAAAACCAACTTCACGTATGTTTTGGGGCTTGCAAAATACAGAACGAATGCCTAGAAAACGCTCTGTCAAGGTTGCAAACTTTCCCCTTTGAAGGAAAATCAAAAAATTAATCAGTCCACATAATTTCAGAAGTCCAATCACGAAATTCATACATTGTTTGACTTTCCCAAATGATGCTAAATGTCGGTTTCGAAACAAATCATAGCACCGCTCTTCTAACCACCTTCCACCAATTGTACAAATAGCATACCAGACTTTTTGATTTTTACTTGGTGGCTGGTATTTCAGGTTGGGGGGAAAATCATTTTTATACTGAATGTTCAAAACTGACTGTCCCACAGTGGCATTTTTGGAGTAGATGGTGAATCTCCACAAGAAAAGCCATAAGAATGCCTTCACCTCTGGTTCAAAGCGGGCTAACAGGCCTGGCTTAAATCCATGAAAGCACTGAGTAAACTGGGACCAAACCAGCTGCTCCAGGGCCTTGTTTAGTTCAAGCGCATCCAATTGACTTATTCTTAGCACTCTGTTTGTACTCTTTGTATTCCCTTTTTTGGAAGCCATGTCTTCTCTGAAGGTCTCTAGGAAAAAACACAATTAAAGAACTCATCAGAGAAGTGCAATCTTGTACTACCTCCTCAACATACACTTGGAAAACTGTGATACACAAATTGCACAGGACCCATAGAAGTTGGGCCTTTCAGTAACCTAAAATTAATACAGTAACAATCACTTCTTACTTGGAACTACTTACTTGATACTTTTCTCCTCTCCTCTTCCTTTCTTTTCTTCCCACTTTTTTTCTTAGCCCTCTTCATCAAAGGAATAACTTTAAAAAACCCCAAAAAAACCAAACAAACAAAAACACAAGAAAACCTGTACCCTATTTCCACAAACATAATTTTAACTAATACTCCTTGGTCAGATATTCTAGCAAGGAGATAGTAAAATCCTGAAGTTAACAGTGATGAGGCTGAATAATAATATGAGTAATGGAGAACTATAAGAACGAAATAAATACAATGATTATATGGAACACTGCAATAGATGGTTAAGTCAAGACCTCAGTTTAATTTCCAGCACTTCTTGACCCCAAGGGTATAATTTTCAGCAAGTCAGTTAATCTTTCTCCAATGTATTTTATATTTGTAAAGGAAGTTAGAAAAAAAAAATGAACAATACAAGTTTATTATTCCACCACACTATTGCAGATACTACTACTACATCTTAGCACAAAGCATTAAGAATGAAGAAATGTCATTTATTAAGGTACTAAAAATATATGCATCATATAGTACTCAAGAAAAGAAAACTATGATATAAAAATATGTACTACAATAATTTCATAAATACACTAAGAAAACAAATAGGTGCCAAAGGGGGAAAAATTAATGAAATATAAAAAGCTGATTAATGGTTAGGAACAACTGAGTGATTCAATATACATTCATTAAATGCCTATTATGTGTCAGCCAATGCAATTAAAATACCCAGTCACTGCTATATTTGAGTATACAAACCAGTTTAGTTTTTTCAAATTTTATTAATGAACTGGCAAATCTATCTGAAACAAAAAATCAAGCTGAAATTTAGCTGCTAAGATGAACCCTCTGTATGAACTCATTTATATGTGGAATCTAAAGAAGTTGATCTCATAGAAGCATAGAGTACAATGGTGGTTACTAGGAAGTGGGGGTGAAAAAAGTGGAAGATGCTGCTCAAAGGGTACAACTTTTCAGTTAAGAGATAAGTTCTGTGGAGCTAATGTACAGCATCGCGACTATAGTGACTAATACCGTACAGTATTATGTATTTAAAATTTGCTAAGAGTAGATATTAAATGTCCTTCTCTTTCTTATTTTGCTCTCTCTTGAACGGACACAAACACACACAGTAAATAACTACAGTTGGTGATGGATGTGTTAATTAAGTTGATTGGGGCAGTCACAACGTATATATCACCATAGACTCTGAATATGTACAATTTTTATCTGTCATTATTCCTCAATAAAGCTGTAAACAAAAACAAAAATGGCCCCTCAACATATCGATTTGCTAATAATCTCTAGGTTTTCAAAAAGCCCAACACACTAACAGAAAGAACACAGTTACAGAAGAAAGCACAGGTCCTGATGAAGCTCATTGCTACCAGCTAGCTATGTGATCTTGGACAAAATATTTCATCTGACCTGTCTTGTTTTCTTCACTTACAAAACAAAGGACTAGAGACAAAATGACCTTCAAAGTCCTTTCAAATTCTATTACTTTATAATTATTACTAAAAAGATGTTAACTGTAATTTTTCAGGAAGTAAAAAGACTAAAAAGTACATTCTAAAATAACCTTGTACCTCTTGAAATTGGGAATAATTTTGACAACAGAAGACACTTTTAAGAGAGAAGTTTTAAAATTACTCATAGTTCTTAGTTAACTTAGTGGTAGAAGCCTACATGGTCAATAATGTCAAGTACAGGAAACAAAAATAACCACTGGTAATAGGTTGTTTGGTACTGTTTTCCTCTCAAATCAGATGTATGATTGGAATGCTTCTCATTCATAAATGTCCACTGCCTTTTGAGGAAATCTCACCTTTTTCCCCTTCCTGTAGCTCCCTCAAGACTTGACAGCCTACAGCTATGGCAGTGGAAATTTTTGCTGCAAGTTCTTCTGTGAAATCCTTGCCTCATACTTGCCAGGAGCTACAGAAAAGAAAGAAGGGGGTTAGGAGAGAGAATTCCCTTTCTTTACTCTATTAATCTGCCAATGATTGTCGATTCTTTGTCCAAACTTTTTTCTAATCCATTTATCACTCTATCCCCTGGAAGTCATTTCTTAAATTCTGGCTGAACTTGCTCCCCTGAATAACATCTAATTAGTCTATCTTACCTTTTACCTCCATAAGCGTATTCCTCACACTGCAATTGTTCTAAAACACAAACATCCCCAAACCTACCCCCAGCTTGCTTTCCCTCCACATGTACTGATCAAGTCATAAAGCACCACCTTCTCTTGTTTGCCAGAAGACTTTACTGTCTGGTCCCTTTGCATGGAACAGTATATTTCCATTCTTTAACTGACAAACTCATGCTTAATTTTAAAAGTATTGGGTCAGGCATTACTTCCTCCTGACTTGTTGAATTTGGGTTAGCTGCCTCAACTAGTTGTTTCCTTAGAACTCTATTCTTTCTCTTTGCTGACTTCTATGCATTATACATAAGTACTTTTAGATTGTCTGTTTCCTCCACTAAAGGATAAGCACTGTTGTAAAGATTATTTGAGTCTTCTCATGGTTCAATCATAGCAACCAACTTAGCTGCTGGTACATAGCAGGCATTCTACAAATAGTAGATAAATGGATAAACGTGCAGGATCAAAGTCTGGAATGTGTAAAGGGCAGTAAATACAAATTTCCACCTATTAATCTCTAAAACTATTTCAAATTATCATATACAGAATACTGATTATTACTTATTTCAGTGTGTATTCAGTACACCTATTATTTACCAGCTAACGTGTTAGAGCTAGTGATACAAATGGTACAAAAGACACAGTCTTAAACATTTTGGAGCTTATAATCTATTGGGGAAGGAGGAGGAGGCAAGTAAGTGTGTGCTGCATAAAATAAACAGACATGGCTTAGTAAGTGATGTGCAAAAGGACATTCAGGGCATTGTGCTTACAACTGTATTTCAGAAGGTCAGAAAAGGCTTCTTGGGAGAGGCAATACCTAAGCAATCACCTGAAGGATTAGCAGTATCAGAGAGGTAAAGGAGGGTAAAAATATGATTGCAAATAGAGGGATCAGCAGGTGCCAAAGACTGGAGGGGCATGGGTGAGAGATGAGGCTAGAAGGAAAGCAGGACACAAATCCCAAAGGACCTAAAAGCCAAGTTGAGCAGTACTTTGTTAAGGTAATGGTTCCCCACTCAATAGTTGTAAGCAAAGAACTAATCAGATATGCATTTTGGACTGCAAATCTAAACTATTCAGGCCACCATGAGTGAGAATGGATTAGAGGCTGAGAGAAAAACTAGAGACATAGAGACCAGCCAAGAGGCTGTTAAAATGATCTTGTGAGAAATTAATAATGGTCTAACTAGGAAAGTATCAGTGGGAATGGAGAGAAGAAGATGTCTTTGAAAGCTATAAGGCAGTAGAATTGACACTATTTGGTGAGAAATAAGCCAAGAATAACTGTCTCAAGTAATTGAGAGATAGTAATTCAGTCCCTGAAATAGGAAATACATGAGGCAATATAGGTTTGAAGAGAAAGATAAATACACTCAATTTTAGAGATCTGAGGCTCCTATGAGACAGCTTTGTGAAAAAGTTCAGGAAGCAGTTATGAGAATACTGCAGAGAAAAATCTAGGTAGAGATTTTAGATGTCTGAGGCCTCTCTGGCAAATAAAACCATTTTAAATTTACTTGATCTACTTAAGTGGTAAAATTAGAAAGGCAGTGATTCAAACAAGATAGGTATACCTCATCTATTTATTATTATTTATTTTTAACTTTGGGGTACATGTGCAGGTTTGTTACATAGGTATATTGTGTGGTCAGGTTTAGGCTTCTATTGCACCCATCACCCAAAGAGTAAGCATGGTACCAATAGGTAGGTTTGTCCCCCTCCTCCCCCAATCCTATTTGTTGCACATTCAACTTTCTTCATAAAAACATAATATTATTCTCATAGTTTTCTACTGATACACAGATATATGTCTATGATAAAGATATGTGTTATTTCTGGCTTTTAATCCTTCTGTGTTGTGATCTTCAAGTCCTGTGGTCTCACAGTTCCTCTAGTCTAGTTTTTAAACTTCAGAGTTCATTGGAATCACATAAGAATACAGATATATCTCAGAGATTTTGTGGGTTTGGTTCTAGATCACTTCAATAGGGCAAATATTATAATAATGTAACACATTTTGTTTTACAGTGCATATAAAAGTAATGTTAAGAAAACACTGTAGTCTATTAATATGCACTAGCATCGTCTAAAAAACAATGTATACCCCTCAATTTATGAGACTGATGCGCTACCTACTACGCTAACAAGGCACTTGTATACCCCTCAATTAAAAAAAATAACTTTATTGCTAAAAAATGCTAAGAATCATCTGAGCTTCAATGAGTCATAATCCTTTTGCTGATGGACAGTATTCCTCAATGTTGATGGCTGCTAACTGATTAGGGTGGCGGTTGCTGAAAACTGGGGTGGCTGGGACAATTTCTCCAAATAAGACAACAATAAAGTTTACTGCACTGATAGATCCTTCTTTCATGAAAGATTTCTCTGTAGTATGCAGTGCTCTTTGATAGTATTTTACTCACAGTAGAACTTCTTTCAAAATTGGAGTCAATCATCTCAAACTATGTTGCTGCCCTATCAACTAAGTTTATTCTTTGTTGTCATTTAAACAATGTTCACAGCATCTTCACCAGAAGTAGATTCTATCTCAAGAAACCACTTTCTTTGCTCATCCATAATAAGTAACTCCTCATCCATTCAAGTTTTATCATGAGAGCGTACCAAATCAGTCACGTCTTCAGGCTCCACTTCTAATTTTATAATAGTTCTCTTGCTCTTTCCACCACATCTGCAGTGATTTCCTTCACTGAAGTCTTGAACCCCTCAAAGTACCCACAATGGTTGGAAATTTTCATCCAAACTCCTGTGCATGTTGATATTTTGACCTGCTCCCATGAATCACAAATGTTCTTAATGTCATCTAGAATGGTGAATCCTTTCCAGAAGGTTTTCGATTTACTTTGCCCAGATCCATCAGAAAAATCACCATCTATGGTAGCTATAGTCTTATGAAATGTATTTCTTAAAGTATAAGGTGTTAAAGTCAAAATTACTCTTTGATCCATAGGCTGCAGAATGGATGCTGTACTAACAAGTATGAAAATATTCATCTCCTTGTACTTGTATATCTCTATCAGGGTTCTTGGGTGACCAGGTGCATTATCATGAGCAGTAATTTTTTGAAATAAATCTTTTTTTTTTTTGAGAAGTAGGTTTCAATTGCATGCTTCACATATTCAGCAAAGCATGATGTAAGCAGATGTGCTGATATCCATGCTCTGTTGTTACATTTATAAAGCACAGGCATGGTAGATACAGCATAATTAGGGGTCCTTGGATTTTTGGAATGACAAATGAGACTGACTTCAACTTAAAGTCACCAGCTACATTATCTCTAACAAAAGAGTAAGTCTATTTTTTGAAGTCAGGCACTGACTTCTCTCTAGCTATGAAAGTATTAGACAGCATTTTCTTCCAATATAAGGTTTTTGTCTACATTGAAAATGTTATTTAGTGTAGCCACGTTTATCAATTATTGCTAGATTTTTCTGGGTAACTTGCTACAGTGTCTGTATCAGCACTTGCTGCTTCACCTTGCATGTCCTTAAACCTCACGAACCAACTTTTGCCAGCTTCCAACTTTTCTTCTGAAGCTTCAACATCTCTCTTAGCTTCCATAGAATTGTTAAGGCCTTGCTCTGGATTAGGTGTTGGCTTAAAGAATGTGTGGCTTGGCTGGTTTGATTTCTTATCCAGATCACTAAAACTTTCTCCATATCAGCAATAAGGCTGTTTTGCTTTCTTATAATTTGTGTGTAAAAAGCAGCACTTTTTATTTCCTTCAAGGACCTTTCCTTTTCGTTCACAACTTTGCTAAATGGTGCAAGAGACCTAGCTTTCAATCTATCCTGGCTTTCAACATGCCTTCCTCAGCAAGCTTAATCATTTCTAGTTTTTGATATAAAGTAAGATATGTATAACCCTTCCTCTCACCCGAATACTTAGAGGCCATTGTAGGTTATTAATTGGCCTAATTTCAGTATCATTGTGCCTCAGGTAATAGGGAGGTCAAGGAGAGGAAGGGGAACAAGGGAATGGCTAGTCAGTAAGGCAATCAGAACATACACAACATTTATCCATTAGGTTTGTCATCTTACATGGGCATGGTTTGTGGTGCTTCAAAATAGTTAACAATAGTAACATTAACAATCACTGATTACGGATCACCATAAAATATATAATAATGAAAAAGACTGAAATATTGCAAGAATTACCAAAATGTTACACAGAGACACAAAGTGAACATACGCTGTTGGAAAAATCGAGCTGATAGGCTTGCTTGACTCAGCATTGCCACAAACCCCCAATTTGTAAAGAATGCAGTATCTGCAGAGGAGAATAAGCAAGGCACAATAAAACAAGATATGCCTGTACTTGTTAAGTTGTTGAGCCTCATCTCCAGAATTTGATTGAGTAGGTCTGGAGAGGCACTCAAGAACTTATATTTTTAACAAGTTACTTGGTGATGTGGAAAACCACTGGGCTAGTCTGTTTCAAAGCAAAATTCATTATCTTTTCTTGCAAATCACCCATACAGCTCAGCGCTGCATGCTAGTCTTTCAACTCATTTCTGTTTAGTTCTCATTCCAATATCTAAGTGGCTGTTACAAATCTTTTACTGACTCAGGGCTTCTCTTACATCTATTAAGTAGTCCTTGTGAGTTTAGAGACCATTCACTCATTCCATAAACTCTATGAATATCAGTATACTCTAACCATGCTAGGTGTTTGAGACGCAGAGAAGACATGTCCTGGTTCTCACTGAAGGACTTCACCCAAGGCTTAGAATGAAGGGCAGGTAAGTAAGTAGACAACTAGTACAATAACA